TGCTAGATGCGAAGGTGAGTATTAAATGTTTGGTAGGTATTTCTTTGTTTTCTCGTCTGATGACGATTCGTTTCACATCTGTGACATTTTGCTCTTTCCACCCTTCAAGCAGTTCCTGTTCAGACATTTCAAGAAGGTCTGCTTCTGAAACAACTCCGCGTGAGGTGTTCATTGATCTATGAGGTGAAACAGATACTGGGATATTACCAAATGCTACGAGACTGCCAATTTTTCCATAGTGGTGTTTTTCAGGCAGCTCAAGGAGAAGGTCTCCGCTAGCCATTTTTGTAACCTTGTATCCTGGGCCAAAGACCTCCGTCAGAGATTTAGCAACAAGAAATGGAGATATGGCTCTGGCTTGTTTTGTTGGGTTTTCGCTGTGCACAACATGGAATTTGGGAAAACATTGTCTGGGTTGGCTGAAAATTGAGATGTCATCGGTGCGTCCCCTCTTAAGTGGAGGACGATCTAGTAGACGGGGAAATGCAGGTGTTCCCATAGTAGTGTACTTTTTTTTCGGCAGCAATGGCGACCACCCACCATGGAGTCCAACCAGGGGACGCTGAAGCACTTAATAGCATAAGGCTGCAGACGCCAGCCGTACATTGCCACTATAACCAAATATAACTACTCAAGGTTGAGTAATTACACAAGGTTAACCCTTGCCGCCAGGAAAAATCGGAAGTAAATGGAAGAGAGAAGAAGACAGGATAGATTTAAAGACGAGAAAAGACTAAGATGTAGGAAGAGAGAGATAGGAAAAGGCGACTGCCGATTTCCCCTGGGTGGGTCAGCCCAGGGGTGCCGTCTACGTGAAGCCGGGGCCAAAGGGGTGTGTTGCCTCTGCCGGGGGGCCTTAAAGGTCCAATCACCCAGCATTGGCTCAACCCCCAGGATCCCCTTTTCCCCGGACACGGCAAAGCCACGCACGGCTAGGCGTGGGAGGGAGCCGAAACTCCCTCGTTAGCTCGGGTCCGTGGTGTCGCTACACACCAAACGCCTACTTGCGCAGGCGCCCCTGCGGGGAGACAGGTTTGAATGCATCTGAGGAGTACACCGCTGATGATCAATTGAACCATGCATTATAGTTACACCAATTTAGAGGGCTCTACCTTTATTAGAAGGGAAAAAAAAGTGAAGTGTACAATGAATAACTGGAAATTGCCTTAGTTCAGCTGGAGTTGACTGCTGCACTTGGGGCAACTTGACGCAAAAGGAAGCCGACCAATTATGGTCGTGGGACGTTGTAAGTACACGCTGTGTTTGTCGTCTCCACTTCTACGGTCTGTTGTTCCACTGTTTCGTTTCGTTAATTTCACCTGCAGTTAATAACTGCGGGCTATAGGAATGGATAGACGAGCAGTTTTATTTTTGCATTTTCTCCCATGAAAACGCGGTTGCCGCCATCAAGAATCGAAGAAGGTTGCTCGCGCTCAATATCAAAATATAGCGCAGCCCCCTGAGCCATCGCGTAGGTCTACGAACTGATAAAAAACCACAAAAAACAACAAAAAACATGTCCCAGAACATGTGTGTCCTTTGGTTCACTTGCATAATTGGCCTATGCGCTTATTTTTAGAGTGCACCTCTTAAGCACGTCATGGTCTTCGTGGCCGTCAGTAGCGTAACCGATTGAACTGTAAAAATACTATCAGAAAAAAAAAACACATCTAGGATCGAACGCCATTGGAGCTCGGGCCTTCTCCGTCGCAGTCGAGTATCCTGCCACAGAACTACACTGCATGGTGATAGAAATTTGTATATATATTCTATACAGGCATCATTCCGGGCAAGGAATTGGTTTAACCTACGTTATACAGCGTGACAGAAGAGTAAAATAAAAGCCAGTCATCACTCAATGGTATATTCACCCATTGTGTGTGTCGTTTAATGCTTTCCACTCTCTGCAAAGTGCTCAGCCACAATTCTTCATCGTCATCAGCCCCATGCATTTTCACACAAAGTGCACGTGATGCCTTACAGATGTGTAGCGGTACTTCACTTATCCGCAGAAAGACAAATACTGGCGTAGTGGGTGCTATCCTACATCAAACATACTGTAATTAATGGAATGGCCCAAAACTTCAAACACAATTGGCCTCAGCCCAGCACGAAGGTGCGCTTATAATTGGCGTTAGGTATCGTAATCGTCGGTGAATATTTGCTAGTTTTATTTGCGTACGGCGCTTTGTGTAACTATCGCGTTTACGTGAAGAATGTGACTGCACTTCCGAATCTCGCGAGCTGGTTTGCTGCAACCCTTTGTGCAACGTGCACAGCCCGTGTTCTCCTCCCCCCAAAATTAAATTTCGTCTTACCAAAACACCGTATAGATCAACGGCATTTTTTTTATTTTACGGACCTTGTTTTCTACCTCTAGGGCAGCTAGATAGTGCGATACATTTTCATTACGTAACACTTCACATCGTCTACATCAGAGCGCGAAGCTTTTCAAGGAGCGTCAGTGCGGATCACCGATTTGGCATCCAAGCGCACATTCCGGCGCGTCGGAGAGATTGGGGAGAGGTGGAAAAAGAGAAGACTTGAAGATGTTCCAAAATCAATCCTTAGAACCGTTAATACAAGAAGACGCACCGAAGTCATAGAAATGTGACTGATAAAAAAAAATCACGATACACTAATTTAAGAAACTTGCAAAGACATGGTCATTATTTTTTATTTGCAGAGATAGTATTGCTGTTATGTACAAGTAATCCATGGTGATTGAGGGTACATCCTTATTGCACAAGACAAGAAAATATCAATAAAAACAGTACTGATATTTCATAGCAACTAAGTCTAGCAGGCATCTTACGAGTCGATCTTATCTGGCCTGACATTCTGCCTAAAGTGGTGAACCAGGTAGACAAAGTTTTTAATGTACTATTTTTTCCTTCTTTGCGTGTGCGTGTGGTTTTGTTGTAAGGTGACTCTTTGTCCTTCTGTGCTCGGAACGAAATAGGCAAGCAGCCTTTTAAATTCAATATGTCTGATACACGAAACTGGCGTCCTCATAGTCATAAGCCACTCCTCACCTCACAAAACTGATACTACGATAAAGATTACGATAAAGAAGCGAGTAAAATATCGCTCCTTCAGAGAAAAACAGAACGTGCTGAAGAGAGCAAACAAACACGAAGGGATTCACAGAGCCATCCAAATGAATAAAAATCCACAGGAAAGAGGCTAAAAATGCAAACATGCAGCGCACAAAACAAGTGTTTTGACTTTAGTTTTTATTTCTGCTTAGTTGAAAAATAGTAATGAGAAGTCTTGTTTTCATCTTTCAGTATTTTCTTTTCTTTACAAATGATCTCTTCAGCCTGCCTACTATACGTGCTCACAGAACATAAAGATCCCTGAAGAACGCTTAGCCTGTTCCACAGTGTAATATATGTATCTTACACCATGACCTGTTTACAATGATGGCAAGTCGAACAGGGAGTATGTCTGCGATTCAAACTTACGCCATGAAGAATCGCCCACGTCAGTTCTCTCTTCATAGACTTTCAGTGAGATTCCTTATTCGTGCACTTCTCATCACTTCAGGCCTTCGCTTTGCACTCAACATTAGTATTGCGTCAATCTGAAGACCCTACACAGAAAACACGCGCTAGTTCACTCATCCACTCTGCTGTGATATAGCCTCTTAAAGTAACGCCTGTTAGTTACATTACGTTGGCTCACTGCGTCATACTCAACTTTAATTTCAACCAGTGTCGCAAGTCTCCGGGCTCTTCCCTGTAAGTATTAGCATACCAGAAAGGTGCAGGTGTCAAATACGTTTATAGGGGGGCGGGGTACTATAAAACTACCATTCTTGATCTGAGAATGACATATATAGTTTAAATAAAGAAGCAAGAATTCGTTGGTTCGAAATCCGGGTATTTATTGAGCGCCCAAGATAATTTAAGAGCAGTTAATTAAGAGTAACACGTTGGATTCAGAGAGGGCCAGCGAGCCATGGGGAGGCCGAAGTTAGATGGGCAGGGGAGATGAAAAACGCCAGGCCTGCGCGGAAGGCGCCGCACGGTCGCAGCGAAAGCTAGAAGAGCGGCCTTTCAGGCCCTATTAGGCCATATTAAGCCACTCCACGTTTATATTTTTTGTCCTAGCTCTCACGAATACAAAGCTCGTTGGATTACGTTTTCGCAATGTTCACAGCATTAAGTGGTATAATATCTGTCAAACTTCAAACTGCTACCTTGCAAGACGTAGTACTTTCGCTCTTTCAATAGAATAAACGATGTTACTATTCTCATGAATTGAAACATTGTATTACAAAGTGTTACCTATTTCTAGCGTTACCGTTCTTCTTACGCACCACCATTTGAAGAAAGCACAGCAGCTTGCTTTAGAAGGACATGGTACATGCAAATAGATGCATGCAGCATGCATGGTCATGGCAGCAAGTGACATTTCGCTATTCAACATTCTGAGAGCCTGACCACAGCACAATAGCGCGGAACTGTGGAACACTGACAGTAACCTAGATTATTTCCCATCATTGATAACATCCAAGATGAGGAGCCATAATATAGTACAGGCAAAGAAACATACATTTGTGACACGAAGCAACGTCCAGAGCGAGAACAGGTCCTTGAATTACCGCATGGACAGTTGAACTGGCAAAGGAATGTTACACCTTAAACAGCCTCCGCTTTGCCAGTACGATGTGTCTAAATTTGGAGCCGCGACATGATGTCGTGCGAGCAAAACAGCCACCCCTATTTTTCTACCGACTGGCAGGAACATTACATTCTAAATAGTCTGCCGCTCTTAGAAGCCGGCTAGGATCCTTGGAAATGTGCCGCGCCGACTTGGATGGAGAACTTATACACTGAATTATTGCCAACGAGACGGTGCAAACGATAAACAGAAACGCACTGGTTGTACTTGAACCAGTTTCACTTATTCAGGTTCGATTCTCACACGAAAAACATAAAAAAACATAAAAGAAAAAGAAAAACCACAGTCGATGAACCACCATGCAGTGGGATTATTCTCTCATCATGAGTTGCCGCCGGTTGCAGAATACTCGGAGAAGTGGCTCTTACCGAGAATGACTTTGGTGCAACGGAAAGTTTGCGGTGAGTGTCGCCAGTTCGTGGAAATATTTAAGCTTGCTGCAAAGAGCTCACCTATGTTGTAAAATAACGTATATACAGGGTGCCCCAGCAATTTATAGCCAAAGTTTAAGAATATGCCGACACACGCAATTACGACATGACCAAATGCATGTTGCTGACCGTTGCATCATGCAGTTAGTCGGGCCTGTTTTTAAAACAGTCCGACTAACTTTACTTAATTATCAATTAAATAAACTTTATTAGAATACTAATAATTCACAGATATAAAGTTCGGAACTGTCTAAGTGGACTGTTTCGCTAACTAATCAACAACTTTCTCGTTAAATTTTTTATGCATCTCTGTTCCTTCAAAGGTTTGTTAATTAAACAGATTTATTTAAACAGTATTTTAAGGACACAAAAAATAGTCGGACAAACTCCAGGCAATGGTCAGCAATACGCATTTGGTCGCGTCGTAATTGCGTGTGCCGGCATATTTTTAAACTCTGGCTAAAGATAGCCAGGCCAGCCTGTATAGTTAGGGTAGAATTCTTTTGGTATTACTGAAGAATCTATATGACGCCGTATTCTCTCTTGATTTCTGTTAGTGTGTTTGTTTATAGAATGCAAGTATAGTCTAATTGCCAGTGCGATTTCACACTTACGCATAGTTTCGATGGGAATGTAATTTAGAAATATTGCGCAGCACGCCATTTGCAATACGCGTTCATTGTTCGATTGCACCATTAGTTCTGCAAATGACCTGCGCTCTGATGGTGTCGTGATTAAGTTATCGTGTAACTCGATCTTTCAAACACAAAATATAGCTTGTGTCATTGCTTTTTTTTAATTAGCACTCTGACTTGGCCCTAATTTGCAAATTATTCAGCCGAGTTTCGACGTTTTGAAGGCTGGAGTTTCAGCTTCAGCATTTCGTGTAACTATGGTCAGCACATGAAGGTAGTTTCAACAGGTAACCTATATATATTCAGTTTAGCGTATAGGAAAAGCTATATCCCTTTATTTTTCCTTCATGCGCGTTGGAATATATTTATATGCTACACACAGTGCATCTTCGATTTTAATTTGATGTTCGAAGTCGAGATAGCACAAGTCAGAGTTAGGAACAGCGTTTTGTAACGTTGACAAATGTCTATTTGATAGCTTATAATCTGCGCACTTCAAACATCGTAGTAAACTTTAAACTATTCTAGGGCATTTTTATGATTGATGGCAGGCTACTGTATTTTATTTTTCTGTTTTCTCAGCTTTTGACAGAAACATAGGCATGCTAACATGCACGTACATACAGGTATTCATACGATAACAGATACTCCAGTCTCTTTTTTTTTGCTGATATGTCCGTGTTATTTCGATTGGGTTTTAGCAACATGAATCACCCCGTCGACTTTCTCAAGCTTTTGTCCTTCTGTGCGTTCATCTGTTGGACAAACACAATCGAAAAACACTATAGAAACAGAGGACGTCAAATGTTTCTCGAAGGACGACGTCGTGCGTAGGTCTATACAGTGGACGTCTTAGGTCCTGCCAGCGAAATCAACTGGTCCAGTAGGATATGTTGACATCGCTTAGCATGTACAATGGCTGCGTGACAGCTCGAATGGTGTGTGCCATAAAGAGAAGCGACGAGTCGACGTTCTCTTCTCATGGGAGTTGTGTGCGTATATAGGGGCGCGACGGGGCTACAGCCTTGACGCTCATGAACTCAGTTAAGCGATGTTTATGGCAGGGTTGACTTCACGGCTCGGTAAAGCGTTAGCTAGGAACATTTCTCACCTTGGGACAAGGCCTGAGGTCAACTTCAAGACCTTTGCACTCATAACAGAAATTCACCGTGTATAGCGTTTCTGCGCGCTCTGTGTCAACATCATTCTACAGGACTTCCCATGACGTCCCAATATGTTTCTCCAAGAAGCGCCTGGACGTCTCCAGGTGCTTCCTCTTTTTTACCGCACTACTTTTGTTTACGACTCTGACTCCTATAGTACATTTTTGTCGCACATTGTTTTTTTTTAACATTCGCGCGAATCCTCAGCCACTTGTTGCAAGTTGTCGGCGCAGCGCATGTGGGCTGCAGGTTTGACTATGAACAGCTGACGACAAGGCCATGGCAAATTAAGATCGGTGAAAATACAAAATTAGCAAGCTGAGTATTGTTGAGGATCTGCGAGTTATTTTTGCACGTTCCCACGGACACAGGTGGCGGCCCCTCGTGGCATGATGGGGTAGGGGTGAACAGGAAGAGTGAGAGAAAAGTCGCAACAAAGAGACACCGACTGTAGCATTGTACCCGAGAACATGTCCTGTGAAGATAATATCAGGGCGTCAAAAAATATTAGGTGTAAATAAAGGCGCTTGTCATCATATGCTCGTAAGAAACAGGGGCCTAATTCACGGAACTTCTCTTTCGCGAGTGTGTTTTCATGTTCGTCAGCTGGTTTCGCTAATGAAACGTCCCTTACCGCGATTGGCTTAAATATTTTCCTACTAAAATACTTACTCTAGGACGTTTTTATGAATATGGGCTCAGTAGGTGTTACCAAAACTGAGCTTGATACGCTTGAAATACCAATCGTAAGCTAGAAAACTAGCTTCTTGCATTTGATATATTGTGAAAGTACACTTATACCTTTGATGCATAACCTCGCCAACGCTAACTTAGGAAAAAAAAAAAGCAAGTAAACTTATAAAAAAAACTGCTGAAAGTGTGGTTCTTAGTTAGGATTGGCACGATCAACCAGCTCTCCCTCCCGCGATAATTTGAGCTTTCTTTTTTTTTTCAGTAACACATGTCTCTGACTAAGTTAGCGCATCATATTTGACCGAAATTGTTACTTTCCTAAATACAAGAGACAAATGAAGCAATACGGACTGACACAAAAGAAGTTGTATTTTTCAACGAATCGTGTTCTCAGATAAAGCAAAAAACAACAAAAAAAACGCGGCTCCACGAGGCACTAAGCGAGAGAAGAAACTACCGGCGTTGTAGGCATGACCCGTTTGCGTATGTACACAACCGTACATATGTCCATGTCCTCATTAAGCAGAGAAAGAAATGTTAAGCTTGTCCTTTCTCCAGGACCTCGCTCTAGTTTCGTATTACATTTACTATAATTACGGGGTGCGAAAGACAACACTTCTTAGCTCACAATGCACAAAGACGTGCTCGAGCTGACGAAGACTTGCCCTAATCATCGGCTAGCCAACGTTTTCCGAACGCGTTGGACAGCTCGCTCCGTAGTGAGAATGAAGCACGTGCCAGGTTTACGCGCATTTACGTAAGACGCCGCTCGTATTTCCCGCACTTTCACCGCTTCTCATTAGGGTCAAGCTCAGTGGCTCCCCTGAGAACTGCTTGTGCCTCGCGGGGCGTTATTGTTAGTCGTTCGCACCGACAGCGGCAGCGGGAGCGGCCCCGCACGCTCACACACAGTCAGAAGCAGCTGACGCTAACGGCACCAGAGCACGCAACCAATACACGCTCGACCGAGGCAGCGGCGTGCTTAAGAGGCACGGCATTGCGATTGAAACGGGTGCACGCTGCAGACCGCCGCCACGCAGTTGGAGCCATTAGCGCTCGCAGGTACACGGCCAGATTTCATTGTCAAAAGGAGCATTGCCGAGCCCGCGTCGCACCGCCGTAGAGGTCGTTCGGGGTCAAAGAACGGAGCCGTTGTTCGGACACTCGAACCTTCCTACAGCCTCGCCCGACACGAAACCCTCCTCACCCCCCCCCCCCATCCCTTGTGAGCTACTGTTGAGGTGTCGCTCACCGAAGCAGACAGTTACGGGGCTCACTTTTCTCTTCCTTTCTCTCTTAAGAATCACTTCTCATGAAACTCGGCGGCGAGCGCCCATGCAGTGCTACACTCTCACGTCGAATTCAATCGCCCCCGCTGAACGAGTTTGCGTTGCAAACGACCACGCTGATTATTCGGCTCGAGCTTTTCCACGTAGCAAACGAGCCCACGTAGCACAACATGTACAGGGTCGGCCACTTATAAGGTGAACACAGTCTTAGCGTTCAAACCGGTGTAGCTAGACCGTTTACTTCCGCTACAAAAGGGAAGTGCGTAAAATCATGGGGCCGATAAGACCTCACGGGACGTTAACCAGGAAAGATTCCGGTTGGTTACCCTTCACTGGCGGAACGGGACAGGGGAACAAAAAGATGGGAGAAGGAGGAGGTCACAAGAAAGGCAGGGAGGGTTTCCAGGGCTGAGCCAGGTTGACTACCCTGTGGTGCAGGGTACGGGAAGAAAGATTGAAAGGGGAAATTAATCAGCGTGGTGTTTCCGGCGTTGCAACCGTTTCATGCTCTAGATAGTCAATGCATCTTTACTTACACGAATTAAAAAACACTCATCTTTCCTGCATTTGTAGTCAAGTAGTAAGACACAGGACTTACTGTGCTTCAACTGCGTCACGGAAAGTTCACTGTGCACTATGAAGAACTTCGTTTTTATTTTTGAAATATCGGCATCTTCTTTCAAGATGGTTTGTAAATGGTGGTGGGTATACTTTGCCTAATCGTTTGCCGCCCGCACTGCTGTTTAAAAGTATGACCAAGCACAAGGTGCAAGCCAAAAACCAGCGCAACTCTATACGCAACGGAAAGGCCTGTCATGCAACCTCCAAGGGTGTCAAGCAAGTTTCTGAAGAAAAGCTGACGATTGCTTGTTTCATTGTTGTAACATGGTAGGTGAAACGTTGTTTCACCTCCTTGTTAATGGTCTAACCACATGGCGCTGGCACCGCAACAGTTAACGCAATTCAGTCACACGCGCAGCTTAGTCGCTTCCAAATAGGCTTCAGCTGTGACGACCCACAAACTTACAACAGAATCGAAAGTTGGGCTAGTTGGATATGCATGGTATATCTTCTTCCTTTGTGTTTATTCGTGTGCTTTGAATGACAGTTATACCGCACAAGCTTAGACAACGGAATAATCTTACGTTATAGATGATTTCAAGGTCACAAGCCTTGTACCCCAAAAAACTTCCGGTTACCTCATTTACCAGCTCCTAAGATCGAAACTGAAAGCATGTTTTCAATTTCTATTGAAGCGTAAGGAAAGTTTCTCTTTCGTTTTTCACATAAAAGAAACGTGCGTGAAGTACAATGGACTTTTTGTAATTTTTATGTAGGTCAAAAGAACATTTTTTTAAAAATACATTTTGCCAAATATTGGAAGGGAACTTTAGAAAAGTAGCGGGCTATTTTCTAAAGCTCTGGTGGTCCACTACTGCGATTAGAGCATATCGGTTGACAAAACCGGAAGTTATCAAGGGGCTGTGTTTGTAAACCTTGAAAAGGTCTACACAAGCGTCGCACAGCTATGCGGTTGGGTGAAACAGAGTCGATTGGAAGCTTGTAGTTTCTACGAGCCGTGTACTTCTGAAAGAACGCGTCCATGCTTGCGCTCGGATGCCGACAACGCGAAATTCGATTATGCGCTCGTCACGAGGAAAATGGATTGCTAAGGAAGGCCATGCAGCCGCTTCGAACCAACTAGCTCACTTAATAGTCCCTTGGTTTCGTGCTGGAAGAAACCAATAAACGCTGGAAGCGCGTGAATCAAGGATTGGGATCCCTAAGAGCGGCGGCAATGAATGGATGGATGGGTCGCGAGTGTATAGAGAAAACTTTATTTCGTCAAAAAGCATATGCGAACGATTTCGTGTTAGATGGCCATCAAGCCATGGTTGACGGCAAGCTGGGTGGACCACAGCAAGACATGGATGACTGGGTCTCAGCTCATCAACACATTCTCTTACTACTGGATAGCAGCACCACGCATAATAACCACCGGTTGCTACAACATGCAACAGTATGAAGTAGAAAGTATGCCGGAAGCCCGTCTGGTCAAATATCTTAGAAGCGATACAAACACAGGCAGAATTTATTGTAAAAACCAGTGCGTCCCCAACCGCCACGGGAGAGTCATGTTTCTAAATCTGTGAACATGGCTTCCGGAGTCGAAGCGTTAAAACACTGGTTCTTAAAATGATTTTGGTCGTTGTCCTTGCTCCTAACATGCCACAGTCTCATATGACATGATCATGGGCTGCCGCTGCCTGGATTGTGGCGTGGCCCACTGCTCGCTAGGGTCTTCCTGGCGTAAGCCGGACCCTTTCCGCTGTCTGTCCGCTCGGTATTCGCAGGTAACCCTCGCTCACGTACGGCGCTTGACGGCAGACCGTGCTCGCAACGCGCAGTGGAGGACCCGTATATCAACGGCCGTCGCACAAAACAAGCGGCCCGAGGCACAGAGAGAACTACAGAGAGAGAGTGTCCTGTTGGTGGTTCCTCCTGCGGTCCCTCCTCTCTCGACGCCTTCGCCACGAAGCGGTGGCGGTGGCCGTGTACCCCTTTCACCCGTATTCAAGGCCCGGCCGAAGGAAGAGGGTAGGCCACAACACAACACACTCGCGCGTCGAAAAGTGCTCCCCGCATGGACTTGGAATCACTACGCTCCCCGGCAGCTTCCGCGGAGAGGGCGTGTGAAGGATGCTGATCTTGACCGCCGGCCCAGGATAGCCACTTGATGAGGTGGGTGCATACATGCTATACGCCGGGTCACGTGCCGTCGGCTATACATTGTCCCCGCCTCTCTCGGTGCTCGCTCAGTCTTGTGAGAGACGCCTTCACAGGTGGCCCGGTTCACGTTGGCTCGCGTTGTCCGAGGCGCGCTCGGCCCGTTTGCGGGATTCATTGCGTCCGTTCGTGTCTTAGCCCGAAGGTGCGCTTGAACTTCATATCTCGGATGTTGGTTGGCTACGCGCGGGGCTAACAGTGCATCGCGCACTGCCTGTATTGCCAGGTTGTGTTTCCGACGCGGTATTACTTTAGCGTTTCAGCGTCGGTTAGCAGTGCGTGACGTATGGAAGAAACGCCTTTTTCGTATAGCACAGCTTGCGTCTTGTTTCGCTATTGGACATCTGTGAAACATCTTTTTCGTATAGAATAGGTTGCGTCTTGTGCAGTTTTCGCTATTGCACATCTGTGAACATAGTTTTTTGTAGTGATTGACTTCGCTTTGCTCTGCGAGTTACTGTAATTTAACATTTTGTACAACGGTAAGTTTTAATTTGAGAAGCTATAGCTTCTCCATTTGCACTCTCCGTGTTGTGGTTTTTGTTGCTAGCGATCGAAAGAATGACTTTGTTAAGCATTGGCCTTGTGCAATGAGTCACTAATTTCAAATAAAAAAAAAAAGTTGTTTCACATCGATAACGGGTAATTTAGATGAACACATCGGAACTACGGGAACATATATCCCCCCCAATATTTAGCTGTACAAGCAGCACTGAGAAAAGATGAGGTAAGCTTTGACTGACACCGTCAAGAATCGTGGTGACCTACCCCGCTAAGCAGTGAAGCCGGCTGGTTTTCTACAGCATTGGTCGCTCTTATGTTATTAGAGGTGGCGTTAGTCGCCGAACTATGGTAACGAACAGCTGCCGAAATGAATGCGCACAGCGCACATGGCAGAAACTTGGCAACATTTCATGTCACCGACCCTGATGATAAGGCTGCTAAAAAATGATATGCAGATGTGCATTGTTTAAGGGCTACTAATCAAGAACTAATGTAAAAAATTAACATATTGATTACATGTGCAATTGTGAAACGGAAGAAATGCTCAATTCTCTTTTAAAAGTAGTACGTGTATTTGCTTCGCATTACACATGAAGCCAAATTGAGTTTTTAGCCAGTCAGTCCTTTACGTGCCATACGCAAAGCCGGTTTCGCTTGCTGAGAAAGCATTGTGCAGTAAGAAAACCTTTGTAAATCGATAGACTTATTTGCCTTTCCTCTTTCTCCTTATTTTCTTTGCAGACACATCGCAATGCATGCTTCATTGTTCCTCGTCGTAGTGGCGCTCAGCGCCGCTGTCCGCGGCCGCAGCGTTGATCGCGAAAACGACATCTTCTCCGACGCGCCAGTGGTGTGCTTCAGGACAGGCTGCGTTCGCGGCACGAGACAGACTGTGAAAGATCAGACTGTGAATGAGTTCTACGCCATTCCTTACGCCATGGCGCCGGTGGGGAACTTGCGCTTCAAAAAGCCCGTGCCCCACTACGACTGGGGTACGGGCATCTACAACGCCACCATCAGGCCACCCTCGTGCCCACAGACGTACTTCTACGCCGACGAGCGCTGGAACAACTATGACTTGAGCCTCAACGAGGACTGCCTGTTCCTGAACGTGTGGGCGCCAGAGCCATGCCGCGAGGACGTCAAGTGCTCGCGTCGCCCCGTCGTCGTGTTCATTCACGGTGGAGCTTTCACGCACGGCGGTTCCGAACGGGCCAGCGCCGACATGTCGCACCTGGCTGCCGTGGGCGACGTGGTAGCGGTGTCGTTCAACTACCGCCTCAATGGCCTGGGCTTCATGTACGGCCGCAACAAGGACATGCCGGCGAACCTCGGTCTTTTCGACCAGCGACTTGCCATGAACTGGGTGCGGGACAACGTGGAGTACTTCGGTGGCGACCCGGAAAGCATCACCCTGATGGGACACGATGCCGGTGCCCAGAGCGTGGGGTACCACATGCTGTCGCCCAAAAGCCGCGGCCTGTTCAAGCGCGCCGTGCTACTGGGTGGCAATCCGTATACGAGCACGCCACTGAACAAGCCAGACATGGCGTACAACCGTGTGCTGGCTGTGACGCGTAAGCTGGGGTGCCTGGACAGTGAGCAAGACCTGCGGCGGAACGCCGCTGGCGTGATGCAGTGCCTCAAGAGCAAGGATGCCAGCGAGATCGCCCACAGCTCCGAGTACGAGTTCAGCCGCGGTCGGATTTCACTGTTTCCCGTGTTCGGAGACGAGTTCCTGCCCAAGAGTCCGCAGGAGATGATGGCAGACTCAGGTAGCTTTAAGGGCATGGACGTTCTCATGGGCCTGACCGAGGAAGAGGCCGCAGCGCTGGTTTACTACGGCGGCTACTTTGACGGTGCACCACCGGACGACATCACGATGGGCGACGTGCGCTACGTGGTGGGCCTCTACTTCGGCATGATGTACAAGCGCAACGCGTCTCCCATCATGAGGTACTACTTGAACGGGACCGAGGACGACCCCAGTGACTCTCTCAAAGCCGGAGGGCGGGCGATCGGGGACGGCGTCACCCTCTGTCCCGGAAACCAATTCGGCGAGGACCTGGCCAGGCACGGCGCCAGCGTCTACTACTTCATGTTGACGCAAGAGTCGTCTTTTGGCTCGGAGCTGTTCGGGCCGACGTACGGTGAGGAGATGCTCTACATGCTCGGCTCGATGAACGACATGAGCAAGAGCGACGAGGAGAAGCAGCTCTCGGAGAAGATCATGAAGATGCTCGGGAGGTTCGCGCGAACGGGGTGAGTGCGAAACGAGCGCTTGATGCCTATCGGCCGGTTTTTTTCCTCGCTCCTTGACGTGGGGTGTATCTGGAAAGCATCTAGAAAACTGCCAGAAGATGAGGGGAGGGCAAAATAAGAAATATAACAAAAAAGTCTGTGCGAGATGATCGCTATCCACTCTTCGGGGATATCTACTCCCTCCTCCAGCTGAATACGTGGACGGGGCGCTAAAATCGCGACCCCGGTGAGCGGATTCTCTCTTTTCTCTCCCTCATTTTTTTTGTTAACTGCCGCTTCCGCCCGGACACGTCTGGAAGCGTCGAAAAGGTTCTCGAAGAAGCATTTCTGGTGACCTCTCGCTTTTTAAACGAGGCAACAGTCGAATAATCACCGGACGCGAGTGAGAAATACATTTTTCATTTCCGAGCTACTAGACGTATCGTCGAATGTATCGACGAGGTCGAGAAATGCGCCCACGCGCGCTACAGGGACCAATGAACGAGTCGGCAAGAGACTAAGTAGGGCAGAGTTTAAAGCGACAAGCGTTTCACAGTTGCACGAGCGCCGATCTTAGCACCGGTCCTGAACTTTGTATACAGTGTTGTACGCTCGGGCGCCGGTCCGCATGCTCGTACACGACGGAAGCGTCCAGTGACGCGCGACACTTTGAGAGAAGGAAGGAAAGGACCAATGTAAACGTACAAAACAGGGGCAACACGAGTCCGCCGTTCCGCGTTCCGACTTCGCCGTGCGTGACTCCCTCGTTGACAGCAAGGACATCAGCATTATTTTTCGCGACATATAGCCTACTTCCTACGGCACTGCGCGCGAAACGCGGGAACTAGTCATTCTGCATCTCACGTTTCATCCCACTACAACACGGCTGCCCCGTACTAGGCCTAGACAATCGCAACGACATACAGTAGCGATCCCATAAAGAACATGTATAGAGAGGATGATGGTCTGAAATGGGTGTTGGCGTGAGTGACTCAGTGACGGCGTCGAATAATTCATGAAGTTGTATGCAATTATTGCACTATGAATGAACCGTGCTTGCGATGCTGCAGAATAAAACTACATGTAGCGTTGGCGGCGTACGCTAGAAGACTGCACCGAAATGTTTTATCGGTCTCGGGAAGCATTATAGTATATAGCTAGTTGGTAGCTAATGACTGCTGCAAACGAATATTATCTCTAGTGGTCAGGTGAAATGGCTGTGTTTGTCGCCTAGTGGTAATTGTGTTTATTGACTAGCCGTGTCGATTATAGTGCTCTCGGCATAATGATCAGATATGTCTTTGTTTTAAATTCTGCCCCACAGCGGGGGTCTAGTGGCTAAGGTACTCGGCTGCTGACCCCCAGGTCGCGGGATGCATTTCAGATGAAGGCGGAAATGTTGTAGGCACGTGGGCTCAGATTTGGGTGCACGTTAAAAAACCTCAGGTTGTCGAAATTTCCGGAGCCCTCCTCTACGGCGTCTCTCATAATCATATGGTAGTTTTGGGATGTTAAACCCCACATACAAATCAATTTTTTAAATTCTGTAACTAAAGTACGCAAACGTTACAACTTACGCAAACGTACAAACGTACGCAAACGTGCAAACGTTAGCCCTATATAGATACATTTGTATATAGACTTCAATAGTTTTGATATGCTTTTCGAATACACGCTGCAGTATGACACACCGATCAGACCCTTAATGCCCTTAGTTAATCAGGAATGGTAATTGAAGAAACGCTCTATAGTGTGGCAAGAAAATACGCTTCCAATGCTCTGTGTTTCCACGTGTCTCCAGTGTTTTTATCTCGAGACTAGTCTTTCATGGTTTTCCGACTAAATCTTACTGCAAATACGGGTACCATGACGATGCAGTGTGCTTCTGCAGCTGCACATATACTACACCAGCAGTACCAGATTGCTTTCCACTTTTGGAACTACCGATGCAACCTTTATCGCACTACCCGCCACGATGATTTAGCGGCCATGGTGCTCCGATGCTGACTCGAATGTCACGGGATGGAATGCCGGCCGTGGCAGCCACATTTCGAGGCAAGAGAAATCTGTGAGGCTAGTTTACTTAGATTTAAGTGCATGTAAAATAACTCCAGTTGGTCGAAATTTCCGAACCCCTTTACTACGGTGTCCGTCATAATGATATCACGGTTTTCTGAAGTGGAACCCTACAATAATATATTAAATAATTAATAATCCTACTACTATGACTATACAGTGTACTACTACACGGCTGTTGCAGCTACCACAGAACCGTAGCCAGATTTTTTTTTAGGGGGGGGGGAGGGGTTTAAGGCATTCTTTACGTATGTTCGTGCGTGAGATTGTATGGGGGCATATATATATATATATATATATATATATATATATATATATATATATATATATATATATATATATATATATATATATATATATATATATATATACTACACCAGCTTCTGATATTACGCGTACCGCTGCTACCACTTAAGATGCGTGGTGAACGATGGATCATATCAACAATGATTTTACTGCGTCACAGCTTAAATACCTAGGATTACAACAACAACAAAAGGAACCATGGAGGTAAACGATACACTGGGTAGGCGTCGCCCTAGTGGCGTCGCTTGCCGAGAAGCTGCACCCGGAAGTGAAAACACCAGCGGCCTGCGTCAGAGGTCACTTGGACATCACGGCGCAGTTTCATTGTTTTCGCGCGCGATGCGGGCATTAATCGCGTCGCCCGTGCTCCTTGAAAAGCGAACGCGGTGAAGCATATACAAAGAAAAAGACTACGAACAAGCTATTGATCAGAACAGCGCAAGGTGTTGCGTAAGCGAGAGAACAAAGCTTAACCGAAGAGAATCAGTGCAGGCGGCGCTTTCAATGACCTTTGCCTAATGGGAATGAACAACCGAATGACGGAAACTCAAAAGGTACGGGATCAAAATGCAGAAAGTAGCGTATAATATTACGGAGTAGCGCTATTACGAACCATTAAATATTCGTTTATTACTCGTTAGCTGCAGGAGTACGCACGATTTGAACTTTCTATTACCTGCTGGAGGATATCCAGAATTTCGAAGTATAGACAACACAAAAATTGTTTTCAACAAATGATAGAGCGATAATGTAAATCACTCTACATAACCCATAACCATTCCATCCCAAGACTTCGTCGCGTATGCATGCCTTGTGAAGAAAGAACTGGCGCTTACTTTATTTTTTGACCCTTGCTTTCGTTACAAAGAAACTATGCTATACACTGATGGGTAGTTATACTTATCGGTTGTGCAATCGTACTGAGTGCTTCTTGTCGATCAGGTGGCGTTGCTTTTACCACCGCGAAGCGTTTGATACGACATTTCTTTTTCTTTCTGACCCAGAAAACTTTTCTGTCAAACAGGTATACAGTGAGTGCACCATCTTGTAAGCCAGTTTAGCGGTAAAGGCAATCGGCCCTGACTTCGATTCCGATTAATGGCAAATCGTTTTGCGTTTGCGGCTAGCTTCGGGACTTCAGCCACCGCAAGGTCGCGAGGTTGCCAGAAGAGCGGCCCCTGAGACTTGGTCGAAATATGCCCGCATCGGTTAATAGCCGGCTTTGCGAACGTCAATGCAAGTTCGTTGTTTGTTCGGTGAACGGAAGATTGCATCAGTGGGTAGTCACGCATACTCACGCAACCACGACACTCACGCTATTCTCTTTCTCAACTTTTTTTTCGCCTCTGTACGAGGAGCATGCGCTTCACTTTTATTCGTAAACGGTAACGCGTGGAGTGGCATAAGCGAGCCTAATCTAGATGGCCCCCTTTTGAACTTCACGGTAGCTCATCTCGAATACGGGTATCAGCGTTCAAAAAAGAAAAAAGGCACCCCACGCCGTTACTGTAGGTAAACGTGTGGATGCGTAGTTATTATAAATTTAGAATATAGAAATTACCCTTCGTTCATAGAGGGATAATCCTAAATCAGAGCTGAAGGGCGCTATACCTGGAGACATGCCAGTTGTGTGCATGGTTGATTGCAAGGGAACACAAATAATAGTAAAAAAGAAAAAAAAAAGTCGGTTCTCTATGCTGCACACAAATTTGCAATTCCCTGGTTTTATGTGGTTAAGGCGCACGCAGCATGAAAGAGTGCTTACGATTTCATCAATTGAGCACAGCTGTGAACCGTGGGCATGCGCATATAGGGGCACAGGTACAAGGAGGTATAGGACGTAAAAAAGGCGCATATCAATTCAATGACACCTGCGTATTTGCCACTTCATATGTACGTCGTCAGTATCACATTCGTAAATACCAATATCTGTAACCTTTATATAAATGTTCTACAATATGATAATTTGTCGATCGTTGCATAAAAATATTGTTTTGCAAGCAAGTATGCCGAGAAGCAATTAATTATTGTTTTTCCCGAAGGCCGCTGGAAAACCGCCTTTGGGAGCAAAAGAAGTCTTTTCTTTACGGTCTTGTATGTGCAAGTGAAGCACCCACTTGCCATATAATGCAAAAAAGAAAAGATGCACGTTTTCACGTTATTCATATGCTGGCACGACTGTACATTGATTCCGGCCGTCATGTGCTGTGTAACGTTACACACGTTTACCGAATGATATAGGCAGTCAGATTGCGGTGTTTTTTACGCGTTTAATGAACAGCGTTTAAAGTGAATTTAGCTACAACCCAATGGTCCTTGTCATGTTCTCACAGATAATGGCTTTCCTGGGCTCATTTTTTTTTCGGAGTACGTAAGTGATTCGTTTCGAGTTTTGTCCGCGTACCCTGTATGATGCAGACTGAAATGATCGACAAAGCTAGAGCCATATCAAGTCACACTTGAAAGTAAACTCCACTGACAAGTGATGAATGCCGTAGCGCATCAGAGGTTTGATTCACTAAACTTATTGTATCGCGAATGCCTCATGCCACTGATTAAAGGTTTTTGATAATAATTTGTCCAGCCTCAATATTGACTAAAATGATCTCTCACGTTATATATTATAACGTAAGTCGTTT